TTTCCTAAAAAATCACTTTTTTCATCAAAATTTAGTGTTCGTTAGACTTTGTTTTACATAAAAATTGTCCATTAAAATAAAATTTTTTTTACCATTGGTTATGACATTTGTTTCCATTGTAAAAAAAAAAAAAGATTTTTTTTCCAACCAGCGTGGAAATTTTTTTCCCACCACGTGTGGGCTAAAGGTGGAAAATATTTTTCGTGGAAAATTTCACCTATCAAACAGCCAAAAAAGTGGAAAGTGGAAAATATTTTCCTAGTTCCCTGGAAAATAATGCCAATCAAACAGGGCCTTAGAGTTTTGGTTATAGGCCAGCCTGGAAGGCCTTGACTCATGCCTCCTTTCTTTTCTTATGAAATTGATAGTGTTAGGGTCTCTTGCTACTTTAAAAAGCAAGGCTATGAACCTCATAGGTGCCGATCTCCTTCCCTTACTAATGTCAATCGAGGCAGAATAAAATTTAATTGAATAACATTTAGTATGTTGTTTTGTTAGAGAGAAGGTTATAAGCTTCTTTATCTTTCCTCATATTTAAGTGTACAAGTTTCTGTACCTTTTCTAAATTGTTGATGTCTTAACTTGTTTTTCTGCCTTTGAAAAGGGTCATTGCAACATGGCGGAAATAAGACTTTTGGCTGTCTTCTCTATATAAACTTGATGATATTGGTAATTAAAATTGTTTAATGCACGTGCTAAGCTAAAGGAAAGTTGAATCTCTATAATGTATTGTTGCAGTTTAAACTAGGCATTTCATCTGAAACTTATGCAATGGTGTGCGTTTTTTTTGTGTGTGTGATAATGATTTTTCATGCTATCAAATGAGAGGATTAGGTTGTTATATTTTTTATAGGAAAATATTTTGTCATGCTAAAGGGTTGTTCTCTAAATAAAGCTTCTTTAAAGTTCCTTAAATTACAAACGTGCTTGAATCTTAAAAGAGTCATTAAAAATTCATTTTTGATCAGCTATGCAATTAGCAGGTCTAAGTTTGATTTATGATATTATCTTTCAGGAATATATTTTTCATGAGATTCTCTTGGTAAATTTTGTAACAGGCCATGCTTTTGAAGCCCGCATATATGCTGAAAATGTTCTGAAAGGATTTCTGCCTGCAACAGGCATTCTTCATCATTATTGTCCTGTTCAAGTTTCATCAGCAGGTAACATCTTTTTCATGAGTAGGATCACAAACATAAACACACCCCTAGGAAACCTACTGCTTACATATTGCTTCAAAGCTGCCATTGGCATTAATGAAACAAATCTTGTTCAAGTACTCCTAGTGATAGACAGGTCCTTTTTATCTTTTTAATTTCATTGACATTATTTAGTCTGAAAATTGTTTCCTTGTTAGATTGTATTTTTGCTCATGTCAAGTCCATGCCAATTGGCAGTTAGGGTTGAGACAGGAGTTGAGCAGGGAGACACAGTGAGCATGCATTACGATCCCATGATAGCTAAACTTGTAGTTTGGGGAGAAGATCGAATTGGGGCACTAATTAAGTTGAAGGATTGCTTGTCGAAGTTTCAGGTATTACAATGTTAGAGATGGAATAGTTCATTTGTGCATGCAATTCTTGATTTTTTAAGAACGATGATGCTTGTGGTTTGTGCACAAGTTTCTGTTATTTCTTATGAGAAATATGTGCTGATTTTGCCAGAAGATTAACTTCAATTCTAATGATGGTTAGGAAAATGATAACGGTTGACTGATGAAAAGTACAGATTTTTATGGTGGTTGAAAATTAACAGTTGTGATTGGCAGGTTCTGTCAATCCCGAACAATCTCACTATTTTAAATTCTTCTAGTTGGTTTGCACCACTATATTACTCTAATTAGATCTGAATAATAGTTTGATATTTTACAGGTTGCTGGTTTACCAACCAACTTAGATTTTCTCTTGAAACTTGCTAATCATGGAGCTTTTGAAAATGGAGAAGTTGAAACTCATTTCATTGAGTTGCATAAAGATGGCTTATTTATTAACCCAAATGATACACTATCGACAGAAGCAGCATATGATGCTGCTAAACATGGTGCCGCCATTGCCGCTGCATGTCTTTGTGAAATGGAACATGCAGCTACGAAAGAACATGCCCCTGGTAATCCCAACGTGACAATGGTGTGCAAAATGATGTGAATTTTTCCTGGAAGCACTAATTTATCTATAATCATGCACAGGGAATCTTTCTATGTGGTATGCTAAACCTCCTTTTCGAGTCAATCACTGTGCCAGGCACACAATGGAACTTGAATGGGATGATGAGTACAGTGGGGATGGCTTTAAACATTTAACCGTTCATATGACTTGTTTGCCTGATGGGAATTATCTGATTGAGGTAGTGTTATAGGGTGTGTTCGGTAGAGATTAAAATCGGATTAAAATTGAAAAACTAGCTGTTGTTGTTGACTTTTATTAGACGAGAGGGACCCAATAACGGCTATATTTTCAATTTAAATTGGATTTTAAGTTGTACCAAACATGCTCTATATGTTTAAAAAGGATTCAGTTTTTTGTTCTTCCTATTTCTCTCTTGATATTAGTCATTTCCAAGAAGCATCAACTTCAACTTTCTTAAGTTTTAACTTGGTCTAACTTCTATATACTTGTAGACAGGAGGAAGCAGTTCAAAGAGTCTGGAGATCAATGTGTCACACTTAGGCAAGCATGATTTTAAAGTTGAATATGGTGGCATTAGCAAGAACGTTAGTGTAGCTGTTTATTCCAAGGTGAATTATAAAAGTGAATCAAGAAATGAGATTATGTGTATTTGCTTCGGGTCCTTCTGTTTGTTTTGTGTTTATATGTGTTGCTGCTAAGAAATCAGCTGTCCCGTGTTTCTAAAATAATGGTTGAAGTTTCTCTTAGAAGCAAAGAGCTCCATTTCTCCTGGATCTACACACAAAATTTGGCACTTTTCCTTTTATTCAAAAGTTGGTGAATATGTTACGAATAATTTTGAAGTGGCTTAACAAGAAGACAACAAAAAAACTAAAGAAGGAAAGAAAAGACTTGCCATTGCACGTTTTTCAATATAAATAATGTCATATATGTCAAGGGTATTTATACAAGAGTTATGCAGAATATATGCATAATATTCCCTAATATATGCAAAATATTCTCTAATATATGCTAACGTACTGTTTTTGTTCACTGAGCATATTTACCCATTAGGCCATTATCATTTATTTATACAAGAGTTATGCAGAATATATGCATAATATTCCCTAATATATGCAAAATATTCTCTAATATATGCAAACGTATTGTTTTTGTTCACTGAGCATATTTACCCATCAGGCCATTATCATTTATTTATACAAGAGTTATGCAGAATATATGCATAATATTCCCTAATATATGCAAAATATTCTCTAATATATGCTGACGTACTGTTTTTGTTCACTGAACATATTTACCCATCAGGCCATTATCATTTTTAGTAAGCCGGGTATAGAATTTCTTAAACCATCCTCCATACCTGATGTGCATTTGCATAATATATTAAATTGGCATGTAAGTGCTATTTGGGTTGCAGGATAAGATGGAGCACATTCACATTTGGCATGCTTCATACCATCATCACTTCAAACAGAGAAAGCGGCTGGAACTCTCCGATAGTGATGACTCTGAATACAGGCCTGCTCTTGAGTCAACATCACATCCACCTGGGACGGTGGTGGCTCCCATGGCTGGTTTAGTGGTTAAAGTTTTAGCAAAGGATGGAGAAAAAGTTGGGGAAGGGCAACCTATACTGGTTTTAGAAGCAATGAAGATGGAGGTTTGTACTCATATTGAACTGAAAATGCTTTACTCTCTGATTTATTGAAGAAAATCTTCCCTGTTGAATTTTTTCCATTTTTTTCCAAAGCATGTTGTGAAGGCATCAACTGCTGGTTATGTCCATGGCCTTCGAGTTACAGCTGGCCAACAGGTTTCCGATGGTACTGTTCTATTTACTGTGAAGGTAAGTCGTTGAGATTCTTCATTGGTTAGTACTGCCTATTCAAAAATATTGTATATGAAGTTGTGGGTGCTTTCTGTAAACTGGGGAATGTGCTTGGTTGTTTTTATTTATTCTTCATGTGTTTGGAATGTTTTTAAGTTTCTATAACTATATATAATGTTAAAAATAGCATACATTTCCCTTGGAGTTATGACGGAGTCATAAATTTCATGAAAAACTATCCCCAGTGCATCATATAAATTCAAAATAAGTAAAGCCATGTTGGCACACATTTCTTGATTTACGTCCTCGTACTTCTTGACACATCAGAAAATGTAAGCATGTATTGTTTACATCACATGAATGAATTGATGCTACAGTACTGCTTAATGATTTTCTTTACCTTCTAGATAAGAAAATATCGGTACAAGCCAACTAAAAACTTTGAACTGATGAGGGGGAGTATTCAATTTAACACGAACAAACTCTTTGGGGTATTATCTGGACTCCTAGATTTAAGCGCATCTGATGTTGAACACAATTGAACAAGAATGAGACATATAGGAAGGGGAAAGGGAGGAAAGGGAGAATGAGAAGAAGAGGGGAGATAGAAATGGGAGAGGAATCAAACGGACAGACAACGAGAGAGGAGAAAGAAGTATTAGAGGGAGAAAATATCAATTTATTCAATAATCAAGTCTAATTATTACAATGCATAACTTTTTATATAGGGTTTCAACCAGTCTAATTTAAATATGAAATAACTAAAAATAACTTAAAAATACTAAAATAATTGTAAAATGAACCCTAATGAGTTTTCCCAAAATAAGAGCCTAAACCTGGAAATTATCGTATCGTACAAATCTTGTAGTATCTCCGTCAGTTTCTCGATGTGGATAGAATGATGTCATAAAATTCTCATTATTACAGGGTGAGCTATATGCATGAGCATGGACATATAGTAGTGGACAGGACTGGATGGTACAAAAACATGAGATTATAATTTGTTTTTTTTCCCTTAATACAGTGCAGCACAGTCCACCTTGTCTCAACTGTTCCAAATATATCATGAGATAATTTCTTTGAAACCACGTTGATGATTTCCAGCAGGACTACATATTTGGTTGATAAATTATTGGTTTTAATGTGTCGTTCTTGGACAGGACAAGTGAGAATTCTGAAGAGGTGCTGGCAATGTTTGTGAGCGGAGCTGTCAGTGAAACCTCAAAATGAATTGCATATCATGTGGATGTGAAGTTGAGGACACTAATTGAAACTTTAGCGGATATTGTCGTCTCTCTTGTTTGTGTAAATATTACTATATTTAGATTCTAATCTCTGACTGAAACCTCACAATGTTCTCGATGAAATGTGGTCGAACATTCTTTATTCCAATTTACATGAGGCTTGTCACAGAATTTCTACGTCGTGACTCATTTAAGCTTTGTTAAGTTTCATCTAGAGGTACTAAACATAACTTATATTTCTCTTTTTGAAATTGGGATAATATCGACTAGGAATACTTGCATCTGTCATTTAATTCAGTTCACTGGGCTGTGAAATTATATCTTGTGCAAGTTTGGGAATTGACAAATTGTGAGATGAAGTCGAGATTAGTTTGGATTGTGAAATTTTCATCTACCATTTTAATGTATTTTTATATGATTTTAAAGGTTCACTTTCCGACATATTCTATATTATATATCCTACAACTGATTCATCTTTCGTTTCTGGGAAAGACTAGCCAAAAGCAAGGGATTCCTGTGGCACGGGACGACACGACAGACAACAATACCAAAAATAAAGACATGGCTTCTAAAGTCTGATATGAGATGAACTTACTATGGAATCACATCAGTTCCATAGGTACAAAGAATAAGAGCAAGTTAATGCATCTCCCACTAGTAATTGGGGACATTAGCCTAATTGATCTCTTTATTCCCCTCAGAGTTAGAGTTGCACAAGTTGTCATGATTCCATTAATAGTTCTCTCCGTTCCGGTTCAAGCTGCATTTAGATATTGAATATGATTCTCTACCAAGTGTTTTTTTGCTTCAAGATATTATTGGATTTTGAATGCGATTGATTATTTTCTTTTCGTTTTTGCTTCGACATACATTTGAAACTATAAAATGAATACGATTAAACAGAAACTTTGGAAAAATAGAGAATTTGTATTTCTTTTTAAGAAAATAACACATAAGATTATGTGTGTGACATGTAACGGTATGATATGTTAACTACGAATAAGGATGTACTTGATTTAAAGATCAAACGTCAATACGAAAAGATATCAACTAATCGTGTTTGGCTAAGCTTATTTTAAAAGTAATTTATATATTGTTTTCATTTACTTATAAATAAGAATAAACAACTTACAAAACTTTTTATGAATAAAAATTTAATACGTAATCTTCACTTCAAGTTACTTTAAGCTTAACCAAAGTTCAGCCTATTGTGCAAGAACTGCAGTGGGAGAGGAGAGTCTAGGCAGATCTTTTTATTTTTTCGTTCCGCATTTATCATCAAACAGATGTTTGATAGTGAATTTTTCATTACTTCAACCAGTACCGATTGATGAGAGAGAGACATGTGGATTAGTAGTCATTGGCATATTCAGGATTCCAAGAGAGACTGTGTCTGATTTTCGATTCATGTAATGGAATAAAGTACAATATTAATCGGGAGTACATGCACAAATGGAATTTGTTTCTAGTAAGATACAAAATGAATTTAACAAAATTTGACAGATTAAACTATTTCCTTTTCCTACGTCTGACGCTAAATACGAAAGTTTTTAAGTAAATTTTTCTGGGAGTTTAAGGTTTAACGTTGAACGATCAAAAATCAAGGAAATCTAGGGCTGAAATTTTCGGCTCCGCCAGCCAGAGATTTTCTGCAATTCATTTTTTGGGTAAAATGGGACCGCCTTCTTTGCTTTCGGATCTTCCATGTGAATCTGGCCCGGTGGCGGTGATCGAAAGTGGCCTAGCGACGGAGCTTGAACGCCACGGTGCCGACCTCTTGACCCTCTTTGGATCGCTAAATGCCTTCTCACCTCACCTCACCTCATCCGTTCCATAAGCCTTTTCAAGATTCTTCATTTTGTTTTCTTTATTTTTTCCCCACCCTAAAGGAAAATTTGATCTCTTTGCCTTAATGCTACTGTTCAGTTTTTGCGTCGATCAAGGATCAACCTAAATCGTGTGCTCTCGGTAGCACCATGACACTACCTTCCCTTGCCTTTGTATTGGCCAATTAATTGGATTTTCTTGATTTTTTAATGGGTCTGATTTCTGAAAGATATAATTCCTATCTGCATGAACAGGTATACCTTGAAGCTGGTGCAGATATAACAATTACGGCGTCTTACCAGGTACTTGTTTCTTTAAATCAGAATAGAATCATCTATTTCTTCCTATGTGAATGTACAGGTGAAATTGAAACATGGCCCTAACTTGGATTTCACAGGCAACAATCCAAGGAATCCAGGCCAAAGATTTTTCTCAAGAAGAAAGTGAAGACTTGCTCAGAAGAAGTGTCACAAATGTATGTGAGGCACGGCCGCACGGGATGTATACTACAGTAGATGTAGAAAATCCTCTTCTGATCATATAGCAGACGGTAGAATTCTCAAAAATCGGCAGATCATAGTTGCGGCATCTTAACACTAATGCTCATTGTTAATTCCATTTGATGATGCATTGTTGCTAGTAGGATCTCCATCTCTAATGCAAGTATACTTTATTTCTTATGTGTGATAATGTATATTCGTGGATAAGGCTGGACGTGAGGGATCAAACCAGCAACCCAACACATGTCCATCGTCCATCTACACAAAAGGATTTCAAACTAAACTTGGGAACCAAACTCATCCCTGACTAGAAGTTCTGTACTACGTTTGAGATGTGAATTTTGGATTGACAAGGGATCTGATATCATGGATGACGTTAAGGATTGAACTCCACCACAGACTGAAGGTAGAATATTGACCAGGGTTTGGTTTTCCAATTGAAGATCAACTTGGCCAGAAAGTTTAAAGAGTATGTCAGTCACGATGTAGAGGCGCAACTTTATCAGGGGCAGCAACATATGCTGCTGTTTCTAAGTTAGACAAATATCTCTTTCCTAATGTATAAGGTTAATAGGAATACATAATTGGAACATCTAATCACATGAAAATCCACACCAACTCAAAGCTGTAAATTTTTAAATACGAGCTGAGAAATATCAATCACAGTTATCGTGAAGAAACATCTTCAATAACTAGTGTTGCACAGTTTCTTTGTTAAATTGTATGTACAACCCCACCAATTTATCAAAAATGTTTGATTTCACTAATCACACTGATACAAACTGCAAGCTATCAATACTGCAAGTGTGTGATTCGCCGAAGCACACTGATATAAACTACAAGCTACCAATACAGCAAACTGGATTATTAAAATTGAACTTTAGTGCTAGAATGTCTACTGGAGGCAAGGCAGATTAAGAATCAAACCCGGAGTAAACACCACTGTCTCTTAGCAACCTCTTCTCCTCTTCCACGTAGTTCTTCCCCCGACTAGTCTGACCAAGATCTCTCTTCCTCTTCTCCTTCTGTTGAAATGAAAGATTCTTTTTATCTTTCTGTGTTAGCACGTTTTTGAGCAGCTCTCCATCAGCTAATGCATCTCTTGTTCTCAGTCGATCTTCGTAAGTTTCTTCTACCTCCTTTGCCCGAGTTCCCTTTCCCGATGACCAAGACCAGTCCTGTTTCTGATCAGGTTCTTTAGGTGGTGGGATGCTCAAGAGTGATAGTCCTCCTTTATATCCACGTTGACTCAAAGCTTCAAAGTCGACACCTTTGCTCTTTTTCTTTGCAGAGTCAACTGTACGCAAGTAGCAAAAATTCAAGATCAAGCCATTAAATTCTATTTTAGGTTTTACTTCTCCTCCTTTTTTTTTCTTTCAACGATGGGGGTGCAGTGGAAATGATTGGAAGGAGAGTCTGGGGATTCTGTGAAGGATTATTATACGATGTCATGTCAGCTATATGACGACTACATTGTAGATAAGGATTGTGCTATGTGTACACATAGCATTATCCCGAAGATAATTAGGCAAATTGAATATGATTTAAGTGAATCAGGACTGGAATGAAGTCAGCCACAGCAGCAGCTAAATTATCATCAGTCATCAAAATTCAAACGTCCCCTGATTTTTTTCATTTGTTTCCTTCTCTTTTAATTTTTATTTTTCCACGGATAAGGGGTGTAAATGATTCACCCTGCACTGCCGGCAACATGATAGTTACACTGCGGAGAGTCGAGCAAATAAAGCATGGCTCGAATCAAGAATTGAATGGTGTTTAATGGCAACAAAAGTCACATCTAAGTAGCAGTATGTAATGGCTATTGTCGTGCACTCCACAAAATATCAATATCTACTAACTAAGCTTGAGCCTTGAATGGAGAGTGTATCTGTGCAATTCAAAGAAGAGCAAATCATTCAAGAATTAAATAAGGTATACTTAGACAGTACAACAAGACAGTAACCAATAACAAGGATGTAGAGGGTAGAAAAGCAAGTTAAGATCAAATCTCCGCCACAATAATATCAATGGACAATAATTAGAATGGGGTCTAACTGAATCATTACACAATATTTAAAAACTAGTACAACTCCGAGTAATAAAAACCATAATCCAAGTATTTTTCTCGGCCACTTACACCCGGGCACCCCATTTCACGGGCTTGATCATCCTAACCCTAGCCATATCAATAGCCTCCACCAACCCCACAGATTCACCCCAGTGATGGGCAAACTTCTCCTTCTGAAACACTAAAGGACCATTATGAAACTGTTTAAAAAGATACGTTATTGGAATCCATGGAGGCAATATCCCCTAAACCTGTCTGTTTCACCAACATCATTACTTGTCTATTTAAAGTCCATGGACCACAGAAGAAGACTCGTTGATGGTCTGCAGCAGAGCCAAAGATGAAAGCAAAGGTATTCAGTCCCTCCTTCAACTCGACTTTAATGTCATTATGGTCTTTGAGTCGCTACATTCAATGGGAAATGAGTGTGGGGGTAGGAAGGGGATTATGGCTCTCAAACTAATGAGTAAGGCTTATGATAGGGTGAGTGAAGTTTTGTGCTTAAGGACATCGGTCAAATGGGGTTTCCTCAATGGTGGAGGAACGTGATTTTCGATTGTATATCCACAGCCACCTTTTCTTTAGTTTCTACAATAATGGGGAGTCAAAGTGGTGGTGGTTCCTTCTAGGGATTGAGCCAGGGTCGCCCATTGTCACATTATCTGTTCCTTATGTGTGCCGAAGGGCTAGCCTCTCTTCTTACCGGAACTGGCCGAGGCTCTAGAACTCCGATTTGGGTTGCAATTTGCTCGATATTGTGGACTCTCTATCAAGGAGCTCGAACCGACTCTTTACAAGTAGTACGGATCTTAGTTCTGAGTCTGATATGGCGCTAAATGCTAAAATATAGAAATGGTGTTGAAGATTTGATTTCATCTTAAATATTGGGTGAAAATTCGCGAGAAGAAGCATTTATACTTCTTGTCGTAGAAATGGGACCAAATATGTCTTGAAAATAAATCAAGATACCATCAATATACAAATTTTTCAACGATATGTATGGAAAAAATATTGTTACCTTGACAAGTTTTTTGCTTGGTGGATAGAATTGTATTCTCTTTAGTAGATTTGGAGGCTTGATTATCTTCCGTGTCTGTATCTAGGGTTGAGGAATCATCAGAAGATGACGTATCATCGTCTTCTTCATCATTCCACCATAGTCCCCTCTTCATTTGTCTGTATATATAGATATCGAAAATCACAGGCAGAAATAAGAATTCAATAGATTGAGATTAGGGTTTCGCGGATAACTATTCTCAGACTAAACGACGTCGTTAAATTTCAGGCAATTTTCAGTAGACCCACCCTTAAAAGGGTGGTGTATCCCCGTTTTTTCTTTTTATTCTCCGTCAGATTATAATTCATTTTTTTCCATCTTCTTATCGAACACACATTTTTCAATAAAATAATATTGCACGTAAATTTATTTTTTTTTCTTTTTTTTTCTAACCACACATTTTTCAAAAAAAAAATGTTATTCCCCTCGTTATAACGTATAATAATGGGGCTTTGCTTTTTCTTTTAATTTTTTAAATTGCAAAATTTACTTCTTTTTTTTTTAAATGTAAACTTCAAATTTTTTTTTCTTCGTAAAATAAGCTAATAAAGGATTAAAAACCTGTTTGGTCACTGAAGTTATTTGAGCCATTTCCTAGTCACTAAACTTATTTTCTCTTACAAATTTAGCAAGAAATTTTAATGTCCTCCTCGCTATAATAATAATAATAATAATAATATCTCTTTTTTTTTTAATTCAAGGATATTAATCTACAAAAAAAAAAATGAAAATCATATCCGTTAATAATAACAGAATATGCACGTGGGTTATATTTCCTAAAACTGGTGTCGAATTCTATTCAGATTTATAGTAAAATTAACGAAATTTGTTATTTTCTTTTTTTTCAAAATTTCGATTTTAACTAAAATGTCTTTTATTGTAAAATATTCCATGTGAAGAGAAGTTAATTAAGTCTCTGTTAAATCAGATTTTTAGTAAATTTTGATAAAAGTCGACGAAATGTGTGATTAAAATTAATTGTTGATTTCGATTTGAAATTTTAATTGAATTTTAATCCAAATCAAACAGGGCTAAACCCCCAATCATCAACATTTGCCTCCGATTACTATTTACTCACCAAAAAATAAAGAATTGCCAAATGCTCACCTACTTTTCGGAAAAAAAAAAATAATAATTACCCATCTATCACACATTTTATTTCGAATAATGCTAAGTGTATACAATCTTTTACACAATTTTTTACACACACCTCACATAGAGGGGGGCCCACACATAATAAAATAATCGTGGACCCCCCTCCATGTGAGAGAGGTGTAAAAGATTGTGTAAAAGTGTGTGTACATGTAGCATTACCCTTTTATTTCCATCCATCCAATGAGGCAAAAATGTCCACATGAAAAATGAAAATCTTATGTGGCCACTAACGCCGTTAAATCTGCATTTTGGAGAGATTTCTACCTTAAGTTTTTAGCTTTCTTTACTCTGTAAATGAATGAGTTATTAAAGAGATGCACACTTTGTCTGAATTTATATTCTCACAGGGGAAGACCTCCAGTGGTATGCCCGTGACCAAAAAAATCTGAGGCCACAAATTCGGAGGCTATTAAAGAAGAGATACAAAGGAGTTGAATCACATTTGAATTAGGTTTTATATAGATCGGGAAAATAAGAGTTGAATTTTTGGGAGTTCCTCCATGATTTTGGACGCAATGATTGTATGAAAGAAACATCGATGTTTTGATTTGTCATACTTTTGTTAATCTGTCTTAACACAAACCGAGTTTGTTTTATTATGTTGAACAAGCTCGAGAATAGAGCCTAGGTGGTCTAAATTCTTAGAGATGAGAATACAATACATGACAAAATTGTACTGTCCCTTCCGGCCAAGGTTTATTTATTCTCGAAAGACGTTCATCTTACATACATATGA